CTCTTGCACGAGATGCATATACATCCATCGAAACAAGAAACTATACTCATTCATACACATTCACACACCGATGCTATGCATCAGAAGCAATTTGGGGTTCAGTATCTTGCTCAAGGATACTTCGACACGTGGCAGGAGGAGCCGGGGATCGAACCAACAACCTTCTGATTGGGGGACGACCCACTCTGCCTCTGAGCCACAGCCGCTTGTAGGTGTTATAATTTCTTTGTTCTTCTCTATAACAAAATTCTCATGAACAATGAAAGAGATGAATGCTAAAGGGGTCATCCTGAAAGCCCACGACCAGTTCAGGCTGAAGTCATGCATTGACTTCAAACCAAGGGACTCTGAGGAATACTACATTTCTGTCAAAAAGTTAAACGGGTATGTATTGTGTTTTCTATTTTTCTTATTTTCTGTTTTTTTCTATTTATCTTTATCTTTTATCTAATTTGCTAAGTTTGCCCACAAGGACTAACTCGCCATTAGGCCTACTAAGACTCAGAAAAATGTAGTCACAATCAGATGGATGTAGAACTGGAGAGATTTTGCATCGTTTGCTGCATGAAGTTATGCTTGTGCATCTTTGATAAATATGAATGTTCTTGTTCATGTAGACTGTTCTTATGCACAGATTTTGAACTTGCTCTTTGTGCACGCTTTGACAAATTAGGCTTTTGATCGGGTCAGTGACATAAAGATATCAATGTGTCCGTTACTGACGAGTGCTTTTTCCATTCTAGATGTTTTTCATATATTGGGCAAGTATTCAACAACGGACAGAACCTCTCCATCGGGACCAACTGTGATGAGATCTCGACTGTTGAACATGAGTTCCTCCATGCTCTTGGCTTTTACCATGAACAGTCCAGATATGACAGAGATGATTATTTGACCATTGCATTCGAGAACATCGAAGAAGGTTTCATTAAGACTTTAATTATAATATTTCTGTTCATGTTGAGGTGTATGAAGGACCTGGAGAGAGTTTAGAGTGAATAAATGAATCCAACAGGAAGTACATAAACATACCATTAATTTAGTAATTAAAATCTGGATTATTTGAGAATTAATTAAACAGTTGATTAAATTATGTAAACACTAATATATTAACGCCTAGATTCATTAATAAATAATATACACTATTGAAATACAATTTATTAATATCTTAATATTATTGTGTGTTTGTGTTGGTTCCCAATTTACATTTTCACTTCAACTTTTATAATTTGCCTGATCAATGTGTACATGATTCATTTCTTCTATTTTTAAAACATTTTGATTGATATGTTGAGTTGTAGTTCTTTTTCTAGTCAATTCTTCTTAAACAAGCTATGCTGCTCTCAATGTTTTTTTAGACAGTATGCTGTAATTGATGGTGGCGTTTATGTGTGTCATCTAGGTCATGAGAACAATTTTCGAAAAGTTAGCGAGGAAGAAAGCACCACCAACGGAGTTCCGTACGACTACTGGTCAGTGATGCACTACGGCAAAAATGCATTCAGCAATGGCAATGGGTCAACAATAATCACCAAAGATCCAAAATTTGAGGATGTTATTGGTCAAAGACTGGAAGTAAGTCCCAGTGATGTATTGGAGCTGAACCTTCTCTACAAATGCAGTAAGTGATGACACACATGATATCTTAGAGTCTTAAGTTTAAAGTGACCAACACCCAGTTTTAGGAATATTTTTGGATTGTTTGTTTCAGTTATTAAAATATATGTCAAATCAGTGTGAACATATTGTGCCATTATCCACGGAAATAAAATGTTTGGAATTATCACGGTCACATTTTTCTGTTTGACTTTTAATTTAAGTTTTAAACATGTAATATTATTACGTCTATTTCCAGCCCGGGAACATTTTTAGGAACTCTGTGTTTCAAACAGAGGAATCGGAGTCTAGATTTATTGTTATTGCATTTATTTCGAAATTACCCATATGGGTATTTTCTGATCTGCCTCCCCAATGAACAGCAGGACATTGTTTGTCAGTTTTTAACAGATTTCTTCGCAGTGATAAAAATAATTTATATGAATATATAATTTTTGCAGTGCTAATTTGTCAATCCTGTATTCTTCTTCCACCTACAGACTCAACCATTGCATTTCAGATGCACTGCAGCTTTTCTAACGGGACCATGTGTCAAATGAATCGATGTTCACAGAGTGTCATTAGCTGGGAAATGGTAACGAAAGCTTACGGGGGTCCTAACTTTGACCACACCAATCTACCCA